AACACACCCGCTCACACACACAAAATTATATATGCGCACTGGCTTCCTGCTTTGCTTCACACTGTCTTTTACTGCTGTGCCTATTTTTCTGTGTTGGACAAAAAGAACTGCATAATGCTTCAGTGACTCACCCTGGCTGCTGCTGTGGGATGAGGGCTCTGACATCCCCAACACTCCCTCAAACTCCTCCTGGAGGCGGTAAGCCCTGTGCAGCAGAGCCTTCAGCCTGTGGATGAACTCTGCGCTGATGACGTCCTGAACACACAAACAATCAAAGAAACTTGACTCATCAGAATGTAAAGATTTGTCTTAATTTCGGTAGGGATAACCGAGTTCTCAGGCGCACTAGATAAGAGTTGTGCAAACCATCAGGTTAAGCTGCTGGTTTGAGACTTAAAAAATATCAGTTTCTTGAAAATTTGTTTTTGGTCTAAATTGGTCTACTGAAATTGGTCTAAAGTCGAAATTGGTCTAAATTGGTCTACTGAAAATAGCATTTTTTCTTATTTTAAAAGAGTATTTGCAGCTCTTCCTTGTGAATCTCGTGTGACCTCATTTCTAAGTAGCTTTAAAAACGCATTAGATTGTACTGGCTTTCCTTGACACAAGTCAAAGCTGCAGCCCGAGCTGTGTTTGGGTGCAGGCTTAACTACTGATTCAAAACCCCTCCAATCTCATTAGAGACCCAATTAGTGTGCTGTTATGCAATCCAAACTCTGACACACAGGTGGGCTGTCAGTGCTGGTTATTCCTGTAGTTAGCGACCTGTAGTCTCATCTGCATTGTGTCTGTGGGCAGCATAATCTCTAAACTCTACCTTCCTCTGGTACTAAAGAACAGAGCACAGAAAATGTTGGTGGGATGTGAATCAATACATCTACTTTTTGGTATCAGACAGATGTTATGCAATCATTTTCTTTTTTTGTTTAACAAAAAAAGAAAACACATATGAGCTATTTGCATGTTGTGCCAAAAGAGCTATTTTATGGCAATTGTAAAAAAAAAAAAAAAGTCATTTTAAAAATGAAGAGCCCACTTATTTTACTGGTTTACTTTTTCCAAAGGATGTCTGGACTCTCACTAACTGATCTGTACCGTGTCAGAGCATGAAGATTAATCAAAGTTAACCCCCTTCCACTAGGTTGATTGCTGCATTCTGCGCTATGACATGATGACATGGCATGATCGCCAACTATGCTCAAGCACACAACTCGAACGCTTCCTCAACTTCATGGAAAACTGCTGTCTTTCTGAACAAATCTATGAGGCATGAGAGAGATCGGGGCTTCTAAAAATGCTCCAATTAATCCACAGCATGCATAAAATTATGAACCTAGTTGTGCTCTCCAAGAGGACCTTTCAAGCTGTGCCGTAAATGCATGTAAGAAAGAGCAAGGGAGCTTAAAAGAGAAGAGCTGAGATGGCGAAACAAACTGAAGCATACTCGGGCCTCGTTAAGATCAATGTGAGAGCAGGCCGGTTGCAGACGTGAGGAAGAGTGACGGTACAAGAGGATTTAACTCAGACGCTTCTTAGGTGAAGCGTTTTAAGCACAGCCAAAGGAGGAGATTATGTCTCTCTCAGCTGGTTTGGGAAAAACCTCTGTGCTCATAGGGAGGTCTGGGGGATTTCTGTGAAATGGACCCGAATGGATGGTTGGACCTCTTTTCTACCCAGTCATACAGTTATGTAATCAGTCAAAGTATCAGTAGAATAATTCTTCTGAATTAGGGGGAAATTTTGGTCTCAGTAATTTGCACCACACCTGTTGTGTACACCTGTCATCAAAGATGAAGAATTTCATGTCAACAACATACATCTTCCATCGTCCCCACAAGCTGCTGCTGGTGTAAGGGTGTAGGGAATCTTTACACAGTGCACTTTGGGCCCCTTGATACCATTTGCACTCAGACTGTGCTTCTCTTTTTTTGGCTACAGTCTGCAATAAGACCTGTATGGAGTGTTTGTCTCACCTCCATGCTCTGCTCAGCAATGGTGTCTCCAGCTCCAATTTTGACTGAGGCACAGCTCGCATCGTCCTCAGCATGCCTGCTCCTGAATGTCAGCGCCTCCTCCCACCGCCGCAGGGCCTCCTCGAATAAATCCATACCTGAGAGAAACACACACAGACTGAGTCTCCTAAAGCAATCAATGACTCAGCACCTCCAATTTTAAACACTGCAACCCACCAAAAACTATTACAGTACATTCAAACAGTATTACTGGATACTGGTACATAGTACACAGAGGTTTCTTTACCCATTAGGTACAGGTTTTCAGGTGTGGTGACAGGTAGGTTGAGCACACTGCAACTCTCAACATCCTCCACTCCGTCCCAACAGGTGGAGTCATTTGCGCAGGTACTGCTGCTGGATGAGTTCAAGCTTTTTACCTGCACAAAAACACAAAAACAGAACAAACATCAACAAGTTTTACTAATACAAGCCTGGAAATGATGAAATTAAACAGATATTACATTAATTTAATGTGTTTTTGGTTACACAGTTAATGATCCTACATAGGCACCACCTAAAAAGAACACATCATTAGTAAATACTGTTTACAGCATCTAATACTTAAAGGTTCACCGTATAATTTAAGGTTCCCTGTTCTTCTGAACATGAGACAAAGGACACTCAGTTTTTTTTCCTGTTTTTTCACCAAGTTAATGAAAAAATGAAGACAGAGCCCACTTAACTTCTGCTTTTATTATTAATGCCCACTAAGGGTTATTTAATCCTGAGTGATGATGTGCCTGTCAGATCCTGAAGCTTACTCAAAGAATAAACTTAAACTTTATTTTCAGTGGTTGCTTTAGTACTCCTGCATGTTATTTTTTAAGGAATAAAGAAATCATCACGAGTCCTAAAGGCAGTAAATATTCACCACCTCTGGTTTGCGGATTTTAGGAGAATATGAACAAAAACATGTCAGACACAAAAAAGAAAAAAGAAAAGGTTTATGCTTTAATTTAAAAGCTTTCCAGGTAGTGTCACATAAATATTTTTGCATCATGTCTCCTGGTTTTGTCATTTCAGATAAAATTTATCTTTAAATGCAGTCTAAACACACTCCGTGCTCTTATCTTACCGAAGCCAGGCTCATGACAGATCCAGACAACTTCCTGTAACCTCCTGCACTGAGAACCAGATCAGAGGAGTAGCCATTCTTGGAGTTGAGGGAGAGCGTGATGTTTTGGCTCGTATTATCTGAGAAGATAAAGATGAGAGTTCAGATGAGGTTTCACAGAAAGATCCGACTATAATACCAGGATTACACAGTGGACATGTCAAATTTAACATCTGGGTAACTTTTTCTGGAAAGCCTCCATGGTATTTTAATAATTAACTTTGCTGAAGCCGTTTTTTTGCCAATTTGATTCAAACACAGCAAACAAAGGTGTGCTTTGATTTACACACAGTGATACAGTGAAAGGCCCAGTGGGGACAAAGGTGGAGAAAAGGCATCAGACAGGCAGCTCGTTGAGAAACGCCTGTTCAAAAGGTCTTTGTAAGAGAAATAGATGTGGCAGCAAATACTCAGCTGACTGTGGATGCCAACAATCCAGATATCAGATAGATGCCAACATTTAATTTAACTTTCGTGCTACAATAAACAGAGCAGAGGGTAACAGACCCATTGCTAAACAATCAAGCAGGTAGCTTATAGTTACTAAAGAAAATAAAAATCAATGCATCCTAGTTTTTCACAATATTTTACTTCATGCTGTAAATGGGGAATAAACACCCTGAAGCCTCTCTCTGTGCTCATATAGCACAGAAGCAGCTCCGCCGTTCTTTCTGTGCCACAGCACAAATTAGTGTATCAGCTCAACCAACTTCTCTGTCAGAAACCCAGCACGAGTGTTAGGTTAGCGGATCTTCCCAGAATGAAATCGGGTTTGCAAAGATAGTCTCCTGTCATTGTTAAAACCTCTGTAAACATTTTCCCTTTATTAAACCTAAAACTACTTTTGGCTGCTCGCTCATTCAAAACAAGCTGGCCACAGCAGATAAGTCTGCATGTTTGATTTGGAAACGTTTTTACTCCTCCCAGGACCAAACCCGGGATCATTAGCGTCTTGGGTGATGCTGTAAAGCTATACACTATAGACCCACTAAATCTATTGTATCAAAAAGAAAGAAAAATGGTCTCTTAAACTGCTCAGCTGACTTCCCTTAATTCCTCGTTTCTTTTAAGTTCTCTTTAGGACTCTAATCTTCCTGGAGGAGACTAAATGAGTTAAACCATTTATCTAGAGCCTGCCTTTTCAAAGTTCAAAGTAATACAGGAGTGGCCTCGCACGTCAGTCTTGTTACATCACACACCAGTAACTGGGCTGACACTGAATGGAGATCACAGGCCAATGAGCTGCTGGGTGAAGAGGAAAGAATTAAATCAGTGTGAGGAGATCTTACCATTCTCTCCTGCGGCTGGGGGGTGAAACTCTAAACCAGCCTTCTCCCAGTGCTGTGGATGAACCTTCTTTCTGCCCTTCCTCCTCTGGAAGCGTCGAGCGAGGAAGAGGAGGGAGACAGCACCAAAGGCAGTGGCAACTACCAGTTTCTTGGTGTCTGTGCTGACGCTCACCTGGAGAAAAGAAAGAGAAGAAGACCATCAACTTAGATTTTCATACACCCCAAATGTTTTTATTCTGTACGTTGTCAATATATGCACTGCATCACATGCAGATTTTAATGATTTAAAGTCTGTTTTCCGGCAGCTTTTCATCCTGTACTTTGTAAAAGAATCATAACCTTTTTTGTGAGCATACAGATTAAAAATGAATCGACACATACCGAGGACCTCTTTATATACAACACAGGGACAAAAGCCTTTTCTAGAATAGAATTAGAATAGAATTCAACTTTATCGTCATTGCACATGTCACAAGTACAAGGCAACGAAATGCAGTTTGCATCCATCCATCAGTGCTTTAGCCATGATATAGATATATTACAAAATATATATTATCAATAATATATTTATATAGATATATTATAGAAATGGGTCTGTTATAGGTATGAGGGTACAAAAGTGGGTATGTTACAATTTATTTTAATAAACTCAGCCGTCTGCTCCTTGCTATCTAAAATATAACAGGACACTGGAGTATATTCTCGAGCATCTCACACTTCTGATAATCAGTT